GTTTATCATAAAGATAAAATTAAGCCCACATTAACTTTTGCTGTAGCTCGATTCATATAAAATTCTTTTTGTGAGTCAGAAATCAGCAATTCAGCCTCATAAAAGGTCACTTTTAATTTCTTTTTTAAAAATTAATACTATTTTTGATTGACAAATCATAATTATATATTCATATGGGGTAATAGTGTGTGATGTTTTGGTAATATGTAGATAATGTGGATTGATTAAGTCTCTATATTCATTCAAGGTTTTTCTCTGCCTATATAAATCCAGGTTGGGTCCTAAATTAAAGGAGGTTCCCCCCTGAAATCCTACAGCCCTTTATTGCTTATACTAAATAAACTGTAACTGTAATCAAATTTCAGTTACATTCTCTACTACAGTGATTTCTGTCGTTTTAAAAAGTGTATCTTATTTAAAGATGTTAATGTTTATTCTTCAAAATAACATATTTCTCGCTGCCAGGGGCCATGTCTTACATTCTTGAATTTGTAGCTGCACGTATTTGTAAGTGTCCTATAAATGTTTGCTAATTAATTGCCAAATAGCTCTCATAAATGTTAGTTTCAAGTTTATGTAAACAATATTATGAAGGACTTTGATTTATCACAAAATTTAAATAATATCTCCCAAGTACATTTAAGGTAAGACTTTATTTGCATACAACTAGTTTTGTAAATGTTTCTATATACAATTAAAAGAGTATAAAGGCAATTTTTTGCTATTCTAAATATCTAGGTGTGAACTGGAGGACTGTATTTTACTGGTACAATGACTAAGTAGTTCACCCAAAATCTGATATGTAGAGGCTTTATATAGATGCCTTACATACCATGATCATTACCCAGCATATGAGGGACTTGGGTACAAGTAATTGTTTCCCTCTTTTTCTCCAATGGGTGCAAGATATTTCATCAAGCCCCAACATGTTTTAGTTGTTTTTGTTTTCCCTATGTGAAAACAAGACATAGGTCTTAATTCAGTATACTGTTATTCAGCAAAACAACCAAGAATCATCAGATTTCTGTGTTTAACAGCAAGAACATTGTGCTGTCATGGGAATCACTCATTTCGAGATAGCATCACTTTAGGTCTCTGTGAAGGCACCAGTCTGTCAGTCAGGTATGGTCTGGTGCCTTCAACCTAGCACTGTGTGCCTTGTACTGGGCCATATTGCTCTGACCCATGCATCGTCAATCAAAAGACATGTTTGTTGAATAATTTCATTTTTTGGATGTTTCTAATTGCAGAAGAGAATCTCTTAACCGTTTTTGAAATCAGATAGCTAGAAGCCTTCCTGAATATAGTTTATGTTGAATAAAGTTGTTTCTGTGCTGTGAAATTTCATATTGATTGTTCATTTTCTTTTCATAAGGCACTCCTCTCTATGCTGCTCATTTTCGTCCTGGACAGTATGTGGACGTCACAGCCAAAACGTAGGTCCTCATAGCAAGTTATCTTTTCCTTTTGTTTTCCTCTATTAAGAGAGAACAGAGGGAGTGAAAGAAGTACAGTCTTTCAAGTCAGTGAATAATGGATAAATATACTTCTCATTCTTAATTCAGCTCTTTAATGCCACCTACCATACTGGATTTTAAATTGAGCCAAATCCCTTGTATTTAAAGAGTTCACATCAGGTTATAGCTTTTAAATTGAGATATATCCTTCTTGAAATGGGGCCAAAAGAAAGGTCACATTATTCAGATTCTTCAGAAGTTGGACCTAATTCTGTTTTGAATACCAAAGACAACATACAGTTTGGTGAAAAATACGTTAGCAATACTGATTAAGTTCTTTTGAGATTATTGTGTAGTCTAGTTATTGGTTGTTCTTTCTAATTCTAGGTAACAGTTAAATTATAAACATAGTATTTGTGACAGTGGCTGTTGTGTTTAAGGTTTCCCCAAAGTAACGCTAAAGGTTTTTGTAATTCTAAAAAGCCTATCAGAAGTTGGAATAAGAAATAATGTCATACCCTACTTCTCTTCAGTAGCATGACGTGATTTCTCAGTACTGTGTAAATGAGACTTCTCCCATAAAAACTTTTAACACTTAAGGGTTTAATCTGGTAGAAGCAACATTGAGTTGTCACTTTATCAGAATTGCTGACTTGGGGGATTTTAAGACTGGGTAGCGCTATTTTGGTACTGTAGCTTTTTCATACCTCACCATTTGTGTCAAATGGCCTAGGTCAGTTCAGTACTGGCTATGGAATATCTAGAAAACATTTACATCTTGAAGAATTCATTTTTCAAATATTTGTTTAGGTAACCTCACTGTAGAATGAAATAGCCAAGCTCTTGTTATATAGAAACTGTTCAGTATAGATTATTGGAATCCATTGGACCTAGGCTAAACAAAACTCTAAATATCAGCTGTTGTTCATTTATCTTGTTTCTTCTACATAAATGATAATTTCATTTCCCTTGATGCTTCAGTTTTCTGCTTTTTGTTGCATGATAATGCTGCAGGGATTATTCTGACTGGGATCCTCTGAAAAATAAGACATTGTTTACAGGTGCTCTGGGATAGGTTTATAATCACAGAGATTGAGCCAGAGCAGCTTTTATCAAAAGAAACTGGGTGAGTGCTAGGATCACTTTCCTTCACACAGTTGAGATGCATTCTTCCTAGTTTCAAACATAGGCCATTGCAAACACTGCTAGCTGCTTTAATAACCTTCATTTCGCTGTTTTGAAATGAAATGTGGGATAGACTGGTAGTAAGGTGGGTCTTCTTTTTAGAAAGATTGTAAACCTATCCCCCTTTTTTTTTCCTGCTTCCTGATTATTGTGGACTCCTTCCTAGTTACAAGAACCCCTGAAATCACTGGTTCCTTGGTAACTCTGTTTTGCTTTCCTTTGGCAAGAACTCAAAATATTGGAGCTTAAAAGCTTTGATTTGGTTAGTTGGGGAAGTATGTGTGTTGGAAATCAGGTTATTTTGTTACTTTTTGAATTATTACATATAAAATACCACATAGTAATTTTGTTAATTTAAACACAGTTAATGTGTGAATTCCATTATGTATTTTATACAAAAAATGGGATATTCTAAGAATCCATGCAAAGTCAGAAACCTTTATTAACATTTTCCTTGTGGCCGGACTTGTGACTAACTTGGATTAGAGCCTAGCTTTTCAAATGCTTATCTAGCTTCAGTAAATACTTTCATCTCATAATGCTTCTGTTTGGTTTCCTTGGCTTCTTAAAAGCGATTTTTAAAACTTCAGCTACCTTCTTGTAAGTGTAAAGTAAAAGAAGAAAACTTGTTTTTTGGTTTTTTGTAAGATCATTTTCATAGAAAACAAGATTGTATAAAGCCCGGCACCAGCTTTAGGTTTAAGTAGCTGATAAGAGTTGGGGGAATAACTAGCCCTGGGATTTAAATTAGTGACCATCAGCTCTGGAGAAGTGAGGACCTCCATTTGAGAAGATCACCACTATTATTATATGGGCTACTACACAGTATTCTGTTTAACTTTTACTGTATTAACAGTGGGACAGAGTTTACCTTACATGTGTATGCATACCTTCATGTGGTATTTACAACTTACATGAGAATGAATTGGACTTTATTTGACCTTTTACTAAATGTTACCAATAACTAACTATAGCTCTTGTAGCTGACATGTTATTATTGCTGTAAGGTACTTTTAAATGCTTGTAGATTTATAGGATTCGTTGCCCTTCTCATCTGGAGCTGTTTTGAATTTCCTCCAAGTGCCGCATTGTATTTCCAGCTGCATATAGTCCTAGTTGCTGCTGCCTCTTCTCTCTGCCACTGACTTCCCTGTGTTGTCATATGTGCGTACATGTACACATACATGTGCATGCATTTGTTTAACTTTTTTTTTCCTTTGTAAACTCTTCTATCTTCTTTCCTTAATGCATTTTGGAACTCTGGGGCTCTATCTTCTGGATATTAATCCTGTTAGAAGTGTGAACACTAGGGGAAAAATATGTGCAATGACATGGTTAAGGGGGTGATGAAAGGACATGGTTTTACAGGCTGGAGCAGTGGTTCTCATGCTTGAGTGGGCTTTATATTCTCCTGAAGGGTTAGTTGAGCACAGATTGGTGGGCCCCACCCATGGAGCTTCTGATTCTGTAGGTGTGGGGTTAATGCCTGAGAATTTGCATTTCTACCAAGTTTCCACATGATGTAGATGCTGCTGGTCCAGAAACACACATTGAGAACCACTGGACTGGAAAATAGAAGGTCATCAGTTAAACCACTTTTTCTCCTCACTCCTCTACCTAGCACAGAATTCAGAATGCCTTTCTTTCCTTAACTCTGGTCAAATTATAACATACAAACATCTGTTTGAAAGCAAACAAATTTAATGTAATTAAAACAACATTGCCAATAAAAATAGGCCTATTTATTACATTTTAGTTGGTATAAAACTGAAAACTAGTCTGTTTAGTAATTGACTTTGTTATCTTTTCATTAGAAAAGAAAAAGATCTCGGTCTCTTAATTTCGTATTTTTCTCATGTTGTAATAATTTTATATTTTTAGTACTAGATTTCAATGTTTTTTTACCTTATACCTTTAGCTTTAATTGCTGAGTTAAATGTGCTTTAGAAATAACTAAGAAAATTTTTAAAAGGAACAAACATTGTCTACATTTCAAGAAAATAGTGTTAGTAGAACCTGTCTACCTCAGGAGTGAAATTGTCTGCAGACAATTTTTAAAAAAGTGATCTGTAATCAACAGTAACAGCTTCTCAAAGACATACAATTTTTTTTTTAATTATTATTATACTTTAAGTTCTGGGGTACATGTGCAGAACATGTAGGTTTGTTACATAGGTATAAACATGCCATGGTGGTTTGCTGCATTTATTACCCTGTCATCTGCATTAGGTATTTCTAATGCTGTCCCTCCCTGCCCCCCTCCCCTGTTGTCCCTCTCCAGCACCCCACCCCCTGACAGGCCCCAGTATGGATGTTCCTCTCCCTGTGTCCATGTGTTCTCATTGTTTAACACCCACTTACCAGTGAGAACATACTAAACAATTTTAAATGTTCCTTTTAAAATAAAATTGCAATAGGAAACTTGCTTACAGGAAAGATACATTGTGTTTACATATACTGATGTTTGCTATAATTCTCTAGATGAATAGGTAAATTTTCCAGTGCCATGTTAGTGTGTGAGATGAATATATAATTTACCAGAATTAATTTTAATTTTTACTCTTAATACCAGCAAGAGTTTTTCATCAAAAGGATGGTAGAATACAAATTTCATTTAGATTGTATGGGAAATATTTTTACATCTGATGAATAAAACTGCCTAGCAGAACAATTTTACATAGTTTTATTGTGGTATCAATAGATAATTAAGCCCAGTCTTAAAAATATGACAATTTATGTAATTCATTCCAAATAAAATCTTTAAACTAGCATGTATAATGATGTCTTTTGTCCTTACCCCTATCCTGGTACATTTTTAAAGTTTATGTTCTTGTTCTGTAGTAGCAATTATATTCCATTGTAACTTTTAATAGATGATGGTTTAGAGTCTAACGTTTTCCCATTCTTTCAGTCTCAGTTTTGAAGAGGAAACAACTATAGATAATGTATAAATAGTAAGCTGAGGTATGACTATTGATTCTATCCTCAGCATAGGATGTTTAGCCCATTCTTTTTCTGTTGAATTCTAGTGGTGCTTATTATAACTTGTAAAAAAAAAAAAAAAAAAAAAAAAAAAAAAAAAAAAAAAAAAAAAAAAAAAAAAAAAAAAAAGGAAGCAATGAGAAAAGAATAAAACAAAGAACAAAAAGAAAACTAAAGATGCATTCTGCTGTTTAGGGAGCAGTGTTAGGTATCTCTCTGAAAGGACTTGAAGAGTAGTGATGGTAATGATGCGTTCATAATGACATGGAGAGACCCTTTCCTTCGAGATGTCTTGCTAAACTTTGAATTCATGACAGTGTATACCTGAAGTAATATTTCTTCTGGCTATCTGGAATTTATTTATTTACTTAAAATTTGAAGTCAGAAGATTTCAAGTACTTAAAATATTTTTTTCTTTCTGAAAGAAGGATACTTTAAAAATCTTGTCTACAAGTCTGGACTGATTAAAACAACTCGTTTTCAGGAATAATCTTACTACTTTAAAGTTGTTGGTGCCCTTTAAATTCTTGCTACCCTTTGGCCTCAAAACAGAAAGATAAATACTTGATAATGTTATCATTAGTAATAAAAATTAAGGGGAGTGGAATGGAGGAGATTAGGTATTGGAGCACCTTTACTAAGATTCAGTTAGTGTGGATTCCTTCATTAAAATACCAAAATGTGTAAAGCAGTATTGTTTCCTATCAAAGTCTTAAAGGTGTTCAAATGTCACGTGGGCTCTTAAAAGAGTAAAGACTCTGTGGGCTGTATGCCTAGCCCTATACGCTGTTCAGGGAAGAATGTCTACACACAGTCAGAAACTCTGCCCACGGGCTCATTGTTCTAACTGGTAGATGTTTATTGTAAACTCTGGAAGGAGAAGGTATGTGCTGCCTTCAGGATACAGTTGCTGTGCTGTCCTATACATTTTCAATTTTATTTCATTTTTAAAAAGTAACTTTATATACTAGATATTGAAGCAATATGTTTTTAATGTATTAGTGAAACAGTTTTCAAGATGAGTGATTAAATATAGACAGAAATAATCTTGTAAAAATTAATCCCTCTTAAATCAGTTTATCAAAATGGAGGCCTGATTGGGAGAGTGGTGTGTTGGTAGTTATATTTAGTTGTTTTTTTTGTGCTTTAAAAATTTTATTAGTGGTCATCTATAATTGCCTCCCTATTTACAAAACAGCATCTTTTTACTCAATCTCAGCCAAATTAAGGCCTAATAAGAGACAGTCTAGGGTGGTGGCTAAAAGCATGGCCTTTCAGTAGCTCTGTGACCTAGAATTGTAAATGTACTTCATAGCCATGTTATAAAGATGGAATACAGTGCATAGAAAGCTCTTAGCTCAATGCCTGGCACATAATAAATGCTCAGGAGTGCCGGGTGCGGTGGCTCACGCCTGTAATCCTAGCACTTTGGGAGGCTGAGGGGGTGGATCACCTGAGGTCAGGAGTTCAAGACCAGCCTGGCCATCGTGGTGAAACCCGATCTTTGTAAAATAAAAATAAAAAAAGTGTTAATGCTCGGGAGTATTGGCTGCTATCACTATTATTGATGTTGCTGCTTTGTAATTTGTTTAAATTTTAAAAAGAAAGATCCATGTTTTCCTGAATAGAAAAAGTGTCTTTCGAAATGAATAGAAGACATGACATTATTAGGAATTTAATTCTGGTGTTTTCTAATACATTAAGTTTTGCCGCCTTAATGTATTAGAAATCATATTTTATGTAACAAAGTAGTAGCTTTACAAACACTCCAGGTAATTTTAAGATCACATACTTTCTACTATATTTGGAATTTACAGAGTAAGAGAATGCCCTCAGAAAGTGGCTTCATGCCTCTCCGATTTGCTAGAATATTTTAATATTTTTCCTCTAATCTGTTTCTCAAGAGGCACTATGACCTGAGTTGAAAGCGTGACCAGATGCTTCCATTTACCAGTGGTTTGATTTTGGGCAAGTGGCTTAATTTGTAGGGATTTAGATTTCATTATTTTTAACCTGTAGGGTCTGAGGCTAAATGGTTTCTAAGGTTTCTTTCATTCTAAAAATCTGTTTCCAAAAAATAATTCCTCAGTTTTCCAGGTGGCACAACTCACCCTTATCTGCTAATGAAGAAATAATACACAACAGTAGATTCATAGCTCATGGCAATATGGCTTTCTAGTCTATTGAGGAGCGTTGTATGGCTGAAGACCTTCAGAAAATTTATGTCCTTTCATGATCTGCAGAATTGGTCATTTGTGTTTTCTTTTTTGAGAAGAACAGAGTGTGCCCAGGATAGCAAATTTGGCGTTCTGGGTTTATTTAGTGCATTTGGGAAATTGAAGAAATCACTGCACATTTGGCTCTTTGTGCTATTGAATGAGCTAGATTTGATGTCAGAAAAGCCATAAGCAATGCAGTCCTTGCACTCTTGTTGATAAACATGTCCCCAGATATTGATGAGAGGTTTATGATTTTTAGACAGAAATCATATACCTGCATTTCAGGTCATGCTGTCACAAATTCATCCTAAAGAGTTATAGATCTACTGATACTCCATGCCACCTTCTAAACTATATGTGAATGGAACACAAAGCAACTGGAAAATTCCACCATGACTGACTTGAGGGCTTAGCAGCTATTCATCACTGATCAAGTAGGTTTAGACAGCAACACTGAATTGGGTAAAAATTGACTCCCAGACTTCACAGGGATCTTCAGTAGAGATACTGTGTGGAAATGCAAGTAAGTAGGTAACATCTGGGTGAGTTTGCTGAAATGAGGAGAAACCTATAGCAAAAGAGTAAAATGTTTGTGCCATATTAGTTTATCATGAGTTAAAAGCCAATCCTAAGGGAGACTGTCAACTAGCTAATAAGCCTTTTATATACATGTAATATATTTTGGCAAAAAATGTTCTTTTTTGCTTATTGGAAATTTTTGTTTGTTTAAGAGCATTTGGATATTTTGAATCTAAAGCGTAGTAAAGTGATTATTATATCCTACCAGATACTCTTTTGATGTTGATATAGATACTTTGCTTTTATATTCAGTAATATTTTATCACAGTTAAAAGATTTCATCATAACTCTAGTGTGTTTTAGTGATTCAGCTCAGCTCAGTCTTGATTTTAGCTAGAAACCCAGGTGAATCTCCATTTTCCTGTTTTCAGATGTAATGTTTAACCATAACAGAAGCTGATTTTTAAACCAGTAACTTCTTCACCTTCCCATCCCCACTTCTTTTTATTAAATTTTAAAAATGTAACCTGGTTTTGTTGTATACTTAAGTCAGGAGTCCTTTCTCCATTCTGTACACAGTTACTAGTTTTTTGAGTGATGTATATACAAGTCGATTAAACTTCTTACAGCATAAAGAGAGAAAGTTAAAACTTAATTTGGAGGGCATACTCGTAGACCTTGCCGGACTGTGCTCATGGCCAGGCAGGGGGGACAGTGTATGCAAGAATAATTTGGAGTTCCTGCCAGCTCTAACCAGCTTCATCAGTGGCTGGATAAATTGCAGGACTCTTAACATTTCCCTGAAAAAAAAAAAAAAAAAGAAAACTTAATTTGGGAATGGTTCTAATGGAAAAACCTCTACTTAGAGTATGGATTTTGATTTTTTTTTTTTTTTTAAATAAAAAATATTTTGGGCTGGGCATAGTGGCTTATACCTATAATCCAAGCACTTCGGGAGGCCACAGTGGACAGATCGCTTGAGGCCAGGAGTTTGAAACCAGCCTGACCAACGTAGCGAAACTTTGTCTCTATTAAAAAGACAAAAAAATTAGTCAAGCTTGGTAGCAGGTGCTGCTTGGGAGGATAAGGCGTGAGAATTGCTTGAACCTGGGAAGAGTGGTTGCAGTGAGCCAAGATCACACTACTGCACTCCAGCCTGGTCAATAGAGTGAGAATTTGTTTCAAAAAAAATTTTTTTTTACAGGTGATGCAACTTGATAATAAATACTTGTTTTTTTTTTTTTTTATGGCAATAATGGAAAGATAGACAATGTCATAGGAAGGGCGTTTGAGGCAGAAGGAACAAAATGAACAAAGGCATGGAAGGATGGCTTATATAGGGACTCATGGAATAATGTGCTATGACTAGGAGCTTTCAGTGTTTGGAAGTTAGGTTGGATCCAGTTATTTTTTAAAAAGCATGTATTAAAGCTAAAAATATTACTGGGGAACCACCTAAGTTTGTGGTTTAGTTTGTTTGCTTGTTTTTGTTTTTTAAAGCAGAACAAATTTATGTGATTTAGATTATCATCTTAGGAATTTTGCTCTAGTGGCTGTGAAGGATAACTTGAAGGAGGAGTAATAGTTGGTTTCTTTCTGAAACACTGTAATCGAATGGCTGAGGCACTTCCAGTTGGATCATAGTAGATGGGATTAGTAGAATTCTTGCCAGAGTGCAAGGTTGTGGAACTGCAGATTATTGCTAATAGCTTCAGGGATCAAAAAAACTTTTTTTCAACCTACAGGATAGCAAATATCTTAGGTTTGCAGACATTATGTTCTCTCTTGCCCATGAGAGAACTAACTTATTCTGCCATTGCAGCTCTAAAGTAGAGATGGGCAATATGTAAATGAATGTGCATGACTGTTCCAATAAAACTTATTTATGAAAACATACGGCCATCGCAGGCCAGTTTGCCAACCCCGCTTTTAAACCTTAATGAGAAGAGAATCAGAGGCAGCAAGAGGAAAGAGATTTCTGAAGGAATATTACAGAAGCACGAAAATAGGGAGGAAATGACAGTGGAAAGGGGCGGGACATTAAGGGGTGGAGGAAAACCCTATGGAGAGATTCTATTTTAAAAGAGCCTGTAGGAATCTAAACACTGATGTTAAGAAATTAAATTTTTGGGGTTGTGTTAATGGTATTGTGGTTTTGTTCTTTTAAGGTATTCTTAGTGTTTGGAGATCTGCACTGAAATATTTGTGAATGAAATGATAGGGTATCTGGAATTTGCTTCATAATAATCTATTGGAGTTGTCAGAGGAGAGGAACAGCTGAAAAAAATTGGCCTCAAGTCAGTAATTGTCCAACACTGAGTGATGGATACTTTGGGATTTAATGAGTTATTAATCTCTCTGCTCCTGAATATTCCTTAAAACTTCCATAATAAAAGTTGTTTTAGTAAAAGACTTGGATTTGGGGGTTAACCTCAGAGTGAGTTCCAAAGAGTGATTGGAGAGGAAGATGGATTGCAGAGGGTGGATGGTAGATGAGAGAAGGAGTTTGTGTCCTAGTGAAGAGGAGGGGGGATATGAAGGGAAAAGAAGGTAGGAGAATTCAGTGGCTTCTCAAGGGGTAGAGAGAGACTCAGGGGATGGGAGTTTTAGAGGAAGTTCAAAGAGGACACAGAATGGATGGGTTTAAAAGCAGGTATGTGGTCGCTCTTCACCTTACGGACATTTCGTTTTATTCCTATAGACAAATAAATCCAGAATCATGCAATGAAAGGCAGTTTCCCACAAAGTAAAGAAATATGTGGTGGATTTATATTAAAACCTGTTTGTCTGCTTGTAGATGTTTGGGCATTTGTCACAATATAGCAAGGGAATGAAATTCTCATAGTAAGAATTTCTAGAGATTTATAGAATTCAGTGGGAAACATTAAATTGTGCATTCCCTTCTGCAGGATTGTTAGTCATACCTTTAAGCTTCTCCTCTCATTTTCTTCAAACCACCTTTTCAAACTAAAAGGCATGCACATTATACAACAATGGGAAACTGTAGGACAGAAGAAAGAAGACTTAATCCCCTGTCTTCCCAGGACACAGCTATAGCCAGTAACAAATTTTTGACTTTTCTAGACTGAGCACTAGGGCTAAATAATACACAATTTCTACCCTTGGTGCACTGAAAGTGCGCTAAGGGGAAATGGACTAAGAAGCAAAGACATTAATGTTTCCTGGATTAAATTGTATTTCTGAATTTCTGTATTTAGTATAGGTGCTATAAATAAAATACATCTTTTATGTCTTCTTAATTTTCAAATATATCTCACTAAAATTGGGATCTCTATGTTCTTTCCCCTTTGAGCTTTTCTTTATTTGATTTTCTTCTACCATCATTAAAAACTATAGCAGAAAAGGGGTGAGGGATTGTGACCTCTGGAAACCTTATTTTCGAAATGTATCTGGCTATGCTAAGTATAGATTAGTTCATTTCTTGCTTTTGTTTTATTTTTGTTCTCAAGTTGAGTAACAACTGAGAGTAGTATAAATACCTGTACCCCCCATGGATCAACAGGTACACTCTGTTCTCTCTAAGTCTGAATTCAGCCAATAACTTTTCATGTTATTTATGTTTTATTCTTTTGTTTAAAGGTTACTGAAGAGGTTCCTGTTGTACAAGTATAACTACATGATGTGTTCTAGAGCTGGATTGAAAAGCAGTCTGTAATTAGCCAACAGATAATTAGCACTTTCAGGATACCACTTTTATCTTATAATTATTGACTCTTAAAATGAGCTAAATTATTTTCTGTAGTTCACCTGGCATGTGTTCTGTTGGTGCATTCACTCACACTCTTTTTAAGTAAGAGATCATCAGTTTAATAACACAGAAGTACCAGTAAACTTTCTACCAAGAATTGCCAGAGTAACATGTTCATTTAGATTAGCGTTGGCAGTCTCTCTCTCTCCTTTCTTCTTTGAAGTATTGTTTGCCAACTGATACGGTAAATTCAAATTACTCTTTAGGTATTTCTTTTTCATTTTTAAATTGCCAAGCACTGTACTTTCCAATTATGTTCTAAAATTCAGTGTTAAATGGAAACATTTGTTAACTTTCTGGAACATAATTTCAGTAAAATATTTGATTGTTCTCTTCTTAGGTGTTAATCAGTTTACATAACTAAATAGTGGGTTTTTAGTATGTGATATGTTTTAGCCCTTTGATCAGGTATAAACATTATTCTGAGTTTTCACATCAAAAAAATTATATGCATACTGTTCACATGCTTAATGTGAAGAATGTGGTATAAGCTACATTTAAATTATTCTTATAAAAGTAACTTTTGACCTATAATTTGATAGTATTCAGCTGTTAGGTTGTACATGTATCATTTTGTTTATATTTTTGTTTTCAAATTTGCGGTGGTAACTGTTGGCCAGGCTGGCCTCCCCTGACCTCAAGCAGCCCTCCCACATCAACTTCCCAAAGTGTTGGGATTACAGGTGTGTGCCACCATACTCAGCCTTATCCTTATTTTTATAGTGGATTTTTGATGTATTTAAAACAAACTCTATTATTCATATAGGCTTTCTTCAGTCCATTGCTCTCTGATAATTCTTTGTTAAATACATAGCAAGTCCTTGTGGAAGTTGGTTTTTATAGTCTTTTTGTCCTCTTTGTAAATGGCCTGATGCAGTACACTATATAATAATAGCGAACATTGGCGGAGTTAGGGAACACTCTTAAAAATATGTTGATCTATTATCTAGTGAAAGGTGAAAAAAAATCTTCAAGAGTATATAAAAATAATGTCACATGCCTGGCATGGTGGCTCATACCTGTTATCCCAACACTTTGGGAGGCCTAGGTGGGAGGATCACCCAAGGCTAGAAGTTCGAGACCAGCCTAAGCAACAAAACAAGATCCCTGTCTCTACCAAAATAATTAAAAATTAGCTGAGTGTGGTGGCATGCAACTGTAGTGTGTAGTCGTAACTACTCACGAGGCTGAGACGGGAGGATTGCTTGAGGCCAGGAGTTTAAGACTGCAGTGAGTTATCACTGTACCACTGTACTCCAGCCTGGTTGACAAAGTAAAATCCTGTCTAAAAAAAAAAATTTAGTACAGTCTTAAAATTTTTTCCAGTCCTTTCATTGTATCATTTGTACCAACATAGTCAAAGGCAAATTTTATTTTTAATTGACACATTGCAGTTTTATTTATGGGGTACAAGTTGATGTCTTAAAATTTTTATATTGTTCAGAGGCCTCGGAAGTAATGCCACACATCTACAACCATCTGATTGTGGGTTTTGACAAACCTGACAAAAACAAGCAATTGGGAAAAGATTCCTGTTTAATAAATGGTGTTGGGAAAACTGGTTAGCCATCTGCAGAAAGCTGAACTGGACCCTTTCCTCACACCTTACACTAAAATTAACTCAAGATGGATTAAAGATTTAAACATAAGACCTAACACCATAAAAACCCTAGAAGAAAACCTAGGCAATACCATTCAGGACATAGGCATGGGCAAGGACTTCATGACTACAATACCAAAAGCCAAAATAGACAAATGGGATCTAATGAAACCTGAGTTCTGCACAGCAAAATAAACTATCAGTAGAGTGAACCAGCAACCAACAGAATGGGAAAAAATATTTGCAATCTACCCATCTGACAAAGGGCTGATACCCAGAATCTACAAAGAACTAAAACAAATGTACAAGAAAAAAAACAAACAAACCCATTCAAAAGTGGGCGAAGGATATGAACAATTTACAAAAGAAGACATTTATGAGGCCAACCAACATGAAAAAATACTCAACATCACTGGTCATTAGAGAAATGCAAATCAAAACCACATTGAGATACCATCTCACGCCAGTTAGAATGGAGATCATTAAAAAATCAGGAGACAACAGATGCTGGAGAGGATGTGGAGAAATAGGAACACTTTACACTGCTGGTGGGAGTATAAATTAGTTCAACCATTGTGGAAGATAGTGTGGCAATTCCTCAAGGACCTAGAAATAGAAATTCCTTTTGACCCAGCAATCCTGTTACTGGATATATACCCAAAGGATTATAAATCATTCTATTATAAAGACACATGCACACGTGTTCATCGTGGCACTGTTTACAATAGCAAAGACCTGGAACCAACCCAAATGCCCATCGACGAAAGACTGGACAAGGCAAATGTGGCACATATACACCATGGAATATTATGCAGCCATAAAAAAGGATGAGTTCACATGCTTGGTAGGGATATGGATGAATCTGGAAACCATCATTCTCAGCAAACTGACACAAGAACAGAAAACCAAATACCACGTTCTCACTCATAGGCAGGTGTTGAACAATGAGAACACATGGGCACATGGAGGGGAATATCACACACTGGGGTCTGTTGGGGATGGGAGGCTATGAGAGGGACAGAAGAGACTAGGGAGGTTGGGGAGGGATAACACTGGGTGAAATGGCTGATGTAAGTGACGGGGGTAATGGAGGCAGCAAACCACCATGGCATGTGTGTACCTATGCAACAATCCTGCAAGATCTGCACATGTACCCCAGAACTTAATGTACAATTTAAAAAAAGTTCATAGAAAAGAGAGAAAAATATGTCAATTTAAATTTCATTATTAAAGCAGTCAAAATTAAAATAAAAGTTACATTCAAATTAAAAGAAATGTTTATATTGTATAATGATCATATCAGGGTAGTTACTATACCTGTTACTTTGTGCATTTATCATTTTTTTTTGTGGTGAGAACATTCAAAAACCTTCCTAGCTATTTTGTAGTATATAATAATTTACTGTTAACCGTAGATAGCCTACTGTATAATAGAACACCAGAACTCATTCCTTCTACCTAGTTGTAGTTTGGTACCCATTAACCAACCTCTCCCCATCCTCCTCATTCCCATCCTCATCCTCTCCCCAGTCTCTGGGTAACCACTGTTATAGTCTCTACTTCTATGACAGAAAACCAAACACCACATGTTCTTACTCCTGGGCGGGTGTTGAACAATGAGAACACATGGGCACATGGAGGGGAACATCACACACTGGGGTCTGTTGGGGATGGGAGGCTATGGGAGGGACAGAAGAGGATGGGGAGGTTGGGGAGGGATAACATTGGGAGAAATGGCTGATATAGGTGATGGGGGAATGGAGGCAGCAAACCAACATGGCATGTGTGTACCTATGCAACAATCCTGCAAGATCTGCACATGTACCCCAGAACTTAACATACAATTAAAAAAAAGGTCATAGAAAAGAAAAATATGTCAATTTAAATTTTATTATTAAAGCAGTCATTTATTAGATAGCAGCATTTTTTAGATTCCACATGTGAGTGAGATCATACATGATTTGTCTTTATGTGTCTGGCATATTTGACTTAACATAATGCCCTACAGTTTCATTCATGTTGCAAATGACAGGATTTTGCTTTTTATGGCAATCATATTCCATTGTGTATATGTGCCATGTTTTCTTTATCCATTTGTCTGTTATTGCATACTTAGGTTGATTCTGTATCTTGGCTATTGAGAATAGTGCTCAGTAAATATAAAGTATTTCTTCAACATGCTGATTTCATGTCCTTTGGATATCTACCCTTTGGTGGGATTGCTGGATCATATGGTAGTCGTATTTTTAATGTTTTGAGGGATGCTTCCTTGCTGTTTTCTATACTAATTTATATCCCAGCCAACGGTGTAAGTGTTCTCTTTTGTCCACATTCTCACCAACATGTTTTCTTTTGTCATTTTGATAGAAGCCATTGTAACTGGAATGAGATGGTATCTTATTGTGGTTTTGATTTGCATTTCCCTGATAATTAGTGGCTATGAACATTT